CTCTCGGCCCTCCCTGGTGGCACAGTGGGTTAATGTTCAGCACTGCAAAGGAGCCACAACTGCTTCAGTGTGAGTTCCATCCTGCCTGGGAGGTGATCCACATGGCACAGCAGACCGCACCTGCTGCTCCCCTAAGCAATGCACTTCATCAATATCCCAATCCGTTCCCTATTCTGCCTCTGGTGAATCCTCTCTCACCCTCTGCACCTCTGGCCTGTATCCCAGTTCTGTATGCATCAATAAATAAATCTTAAAAAAAAAATGCCTAGATTCTCATGCCCTCTTTCTTACTTTTGGGTTGTTGTGGAAAGTGGGTAAATTGACCACAACAATGAGGGCCAGGATCAAACTAAGTCCATTTGCTACCTGGTTCTCCAGGAGAGCTAACATGAAGTAGTGTGAAACACAGTCTGGTAGTTAGTTCTTGCCTCTCATTTCTAGTCCAGAGCAGATCAGCTGCTCTCAGGCAGATCAGCTGCTCTCAGGACAGCAAGCTACTTTGCTTCCGTTTTTAGAGGTAGCATTATTTTACAGTATGCCTATGCTTTAGAGGTAGAGGGTCAGACCATTCACAACCACCAACACGAAGGCACCCAAAGTCCCCTGCCATAGTCCATTGTGCCCCTTCTCCATGTGCTCCCCCTTTCTGGCAGGCTCAATTCTACCATCTTATTCCTAGAGTTCGTTATTGGTTTGGTTTTATGTGACTTAGTTTTGCTTCTCTGTATTCCATATAAGAGACACCATTTGCTATTTTTCTTTTGATTTCTGATGTCCCTTTTCTTAGATGGCAATTGGGAGATTCCAATCATTACTAGAATGTGTTCTTGAAGGGTCTCAACCATACCCACCACACAAACCCTGGAACCAAGCATTCCTAAGGGAGTTTTCATACATATAGTCCTTCACTTTGTCACATTTCCATGTGTCCTATTACCCCACACCCAAAAGATAGGCTACCAGTGCAGCTGCCTCACTGCCTCACAGGACCTGCTGGCTTAGATTTGGTTTAGTTGCAGCTGGAATGCAACATGGAGGCACAGGCAAGGATCTGGGAAGCAAGAAACTAAGATGAGCTGCTTTTAAAGAGGTTCCTAGTCTGGGAAGCAAGATGAGTGGACTAGACTGGTGAGTTAGCACATGGGACTAGCTAAAATTAAAACAAAAAATCTCTATGAAATAAATATCAAGGAAGGTTAGAAAGGGGGTGGACAAAGAAAGAAAAGAAAGAGCAAAGGCAATATCAGTATTTTTGAAAGGCAGGATATGCCAACTTTGCAGTGACTTCACATGATGCAGATTTATTTGGCACCAAAGTATCACCCAGGGGTCGGGTGGCCCTCCTCAGCTTGTGTTTGTCTCCAACCTAAAATCTGAGCTTGCGAAAGCAAGGGGGAAGAGAACTAGCAAATCTCAAAGGCTGTTGAAGAACAGGCTCTTAGTGCCCCATAGCACCTGTGGCTGCCTTCTGTTAGCCAGACCCCTTCAGCTATCGCTTTCATGTGTACAAGACCAGTAGCCTGACCCAGTAATAATCAGAGCAAAGCTCTAAGAGGTGACTGACATTGTAGTGTCATCCTCCAGCTCTCAGAAGTTACACAGCGAACCAGTCTCTTCAGTGTGCCACAGGCATAGGCTCCTTTAGGAGCAGAAGTAGGTCTAGACTCTCCGCAGGTTGAATATAAAGCATTCAGAAGATTAGTGACAGATTAGAAGGCAAAGCATTCTTTCCAAGCACGACCCCCTCCCCCTTCCCTCCCCTCCCCTCGCCCTTCCGTCCCTCCCCTTCTCCCCTCCACTTCCCAGTATGGCTGAATGGATCCTCTGTCTCTGGAAACTTTGAGCAACTTAGTGGGCTGAGCAGATGAGACCCTTTCCTCCTACACTTTATTTTAACAAGTGAAAAACCTGCCTCAGCACTCAATGTAGACCTGAGTTCAGCTCAGCTGTGTTCTCGTTTCTGTGGGTCACTCTTTCCCAATATTTTAATATCATTGGAGATCAATAAATGTGAAAACTTGAGGGCAAAGCAACCAAACTGTTCAGACATTGACTTGCTGGATTCTGGAATGAGAAAAACTGAGCGCCAGGAGTAAAAAAGTACTCCATCCAAATTACCCTCCAGCACCGTCTTCAAAGGCTTGAACTCCCACTGGTGTAGGCATTGATAACGGAGCTTTTCTGGGCTGGACAGTCGAACACAAAAATGACTACCCTGCAGAGTTCACATTCCCTGAAATCAATCCAAAATGCTGAGGTAAAAGCACCACCGGCCAAATTTCTGAGAAACTCACAACTGACTCTGCTTGATTGTCCTGTTTCCATGACGAAAGCACACTAAGGACACCAGCCCTCCTTCCTCAGATCTGAACAAAGTGCCTGCTCCTCAAGCCAACTACTCTCCTGACCTGCTGCTGTTCCCCTCAGCAGTGTATTTCAGTAGATCAGTCTGTTCTGTTCCCCATTCTCTCTGGTGAATCCTCTCACCCACCATACCTCTGGCCCATACCCCAGTTCTGTAAGCAGAAATAAATAAATCTTTAAAAAAAAAAAAAAAGAAGAAGAAGAAAGAAGAAAAAAATACATTTAGAAGTAGCTTTATTGATCTTATGGTAGATAAGCAACACCCCTAGATTCTTCATCCTTTCTCTTCTCCAAAGATTCACAGTAGCCAGAAATAAAATCCCAAGTTTGGAACTTAAAGGAAAAATAAATTAAAAATGAAGACGATCAGGCCCTCCCTGGTGACACAGCAGGTTAAAGCACTGCACTACGAAGATTAAGCCACTTCCTCATGAGTTCGATCCCTGCCTGCCCCAGAGGAGATCCACATGGCGTGGCAGACCTCTCCCGGTCTGCCCGCTGCTCCCCTCAGCAGTGTACTTCCTCGATCTGCCTGTTCTGCTCCCCACTCTGTCTCTGGTGGATCCTCTCACCCTCCGCATCTCTGGCCTGTACCCCAGTTCTGTATGAATGAATAAATAAATCTTAAAAAAAAAAAAATGAAGACGACCTTAACCAAAAATGTTAAGCCATCTTTCTCAATGAATGCGAATTGTGGCAAAATGTGAATAGTTTGTGAATCTAAATGAAAGTGAGGAGTATTTATGTCTTCTTTCTCAGAGTTTGAAATTTCCAAAATAGCAAAATTTTGCAAAATATCATACATGCATAAATAAATAAAATACATCTTTAAAGAATTAAGTTACAACTTATAAATTAATTAAGTATGGGATTGTGGTAGATATGAGCCTTTTGGATTGCCATATAACAGGGGTTGTCAAACATTTTCAATGAAGGACCAGACTTTTTGACTATTGTCTCTGTTGCAACTAATCTGCTTTGCAATTGCATTGTAAGTGCAGCTCCAAGCAAAAATACAAAAAAATGGGTGTGCCTTTGTCCCAAACAAAACTTAACAGAGGTGTGGAAATCTGAATTTTACATAATTGTCATATACCATGAAATGTTATAGTGTTTTTATAGCCATTTGAAAAAAGCAGAAAACATTTGTAGCTTTCAATCAATCTAAAACTAGAGGAGGGCCAACTTTGGCTATAGTTCTATCAATTGACAAGTCCTAACTATTTAAGAAATAATATGCACAAAGAAAGTTTAAAATTATTTGTTATAAAACAGAATTTTATTAATCTTGAGTTACATATAAATGAGCTTAATTTTCTTGATATGAAAATTAACTGTATAAATCATTCACTGGTAATATTAAATTTGTAGATTAAAAACATATTGAATGTCATAACAGAGAGAGTTGTGAGTAAATGATTATTTGGCTTTTCTAGGAGAGGAATTTGAACAAAGCTTTATAGCTTACCAGTAAAGTGAATGTTTTAAATAATCTGAACATAAAAATTTTAAAACACAACATTTACACTTTTATTTCTGAAAAGTGAATCATTTCAAATCATCAAATGTTAAAAGATTTTCTTAATATCTATAATGTTAGAAAAAAGGTAAATATAATATACATATAAATACAGACATAACAATAAAAATATTATAGCTGATAATAGAGTCTGAAGTGCTTCCAGTATCCTATAACACAAAACATCAACACTTAAATTATTTTATCAAAGTGCTGTTTTACACAGTAAACACCATCACAGTCTTTCATTTCTCTCAACTAGAAGTCATTTCAAGATAAAAAGCATTTAAATAAAGCATATTGCCAAGCCACACTTTATATGTTTCAATCTGAAGTTTTTAAATGACCATTTTCATTCAATGTTTATTTTAAAACTATCACAAGAGAACACATTCTTTTCATTGATACATGTTTAACAGTAACAGCAAAACTGCCTTCTCTAGAAAAATTTCATTTATATGGAATGAAAAAAATTATAGATGCTAGATAGTTGAAACCTAACATAATTAGTTACCAGCAAAAATAAATTAAAATATATTAAACCATCTTCATTCTTCCAAGAGATTAAAATCATCATTTTAGAAGCCCTGAATACTAGATATAGAGGAAGGTGAAGAACATTTTCTTTGTATTAAAAAAAATCATGTGTTTTCACTAAAACGTGAATATGTACCTTTTTTATAATTTATTTTTCACACAATTGTGTGAAGTTGTACCTTTTCATAATTTGTACCATTTTCACACAATTCTTCTGTGAGTTTTATAAAAATAAGGCAGTTTCCTTAGGAAAAACAATTCTGCCAATTGGGATATCTTCATTCTGGAAAAAAAAACCAAAACTTTTTCTTCTGAAAATAGAGAAGTTCAGTCCCTGTCTATATAAATGAGAACAAATTATTGTACTTGTAGAAAAAAATTTTTTTTTCACTAGCACATTCTGAGGTTGTGTCTGGAAACTATTAACTGAAATGTTAGGATTTACATGAGTATCAATGAACAGAATTGGATCAGCTGAATCAATTCTGCTACCAGTAAATGCATCTGTCCAAAGAGACAGATACCCAATGGCATTCTGCAGCCCACTAACATCTAGTGCACTCTCTCTGCAACCATATTTTCACAGATGTTTATATTTATACTTGAACTCGACATCATTTAATGGTGGTAAAATGCCCAAACCTGCCCGGGATTGGTCCAGAGGAGGACATTTAACGTCACTGTCCACAAGCTCTATCTCAAAACGGGTAAGCATCAAGATCAAAAATTGTTTGATTTCATGAACAGCAAATAGTCGTCCGGGACAGATTGTAGCTCCTGATCCAAAGGGCATGTAGTAATACTTTAACTTGATTCCGTTTCTATAGAAAGCAGTCTTTGTCTTCCCGTTTTCATCAAGATAGCGATCATATTTAAAAGTCTACAATAAACACACACACACACACACAAAGAAAATAAACTAGTTTTAATGAAACTTCTTTCTTCTTGATCTGGAAGCTGCAAAGTATACTTTTCTCTTGGAATCCATTCCATCAGTAATTTGGCAAATACCCCCCACCCCCACCCACCCACACACACACACACACACACACCCCTAATCAGAAGTAATAAAGAACAGGAGTTTGAACAGTTCAGTTTAAAGAGAACTAATGAAAACAGACGCTTTAAGATACTTACCATTTGACTATCTAATTGCTGGGTTAGGAAGTCGGGTAAGAAGGGGTCAGAGCAGACATTAGAAATGTTGGATTACTAGGTTCTAATTTTTTGAATCTGGGAGAGGTAATTTTTATTAAAAAGAAGGGCAAGCATTTTATCACCACGATTGTGAATAACACTCTAGCAGAGACTAGGTGATGATAAATACCAGGAATAAAAAATTTAAATTCAGGCCATTATCCAGATTTCCCAAAATAGATGGATATTTGACATAATAAAGGAGACAACCCCTGTGGCTTAAATGACCAAATCAATTCTGCAATAAAAGGTAAATTTCCTTTCATGTCAGTCTGAATAGACATTTTCTGTGTATTGAACTTTGATGGTCACTTACCAAAGGGTCAGGGTAAATTTCTGGGTCTAAATGCATTAATTGCGGATAGAGAGCTACGATGTCATCTTTGCGGATATTATAGGAGCCGTCCTGCAGGTGCAACGTGAAATCCTCTTTAGCAGTTCGGATATTCAGAGAGGCACTGGAGAGCCTCAGAGACTCTTTGATGATGCTATCTAAACATTTAAAAAGGAAGAAAGAAGAAGGAAGTAGGAAAGGTGAGAAGGAAGGAAAAAGAACAAATCAAGGATTTAAAAGTCACATAATGTTGTTTCTGGAAAACTACCATCAAAACCTGTAACATAAAGCTAAACAGACTATGGGAAACTGGTCTGATAAAAATTTCCAAAGCTTTTTTCCTGTTACCACTACACTGTGAGTCATTTGATTCAGTTGTGTTTTTAATCTGAGTTAACAATAGTCTCGATAAAGATATGATCTACTTTGTCAGCAATGGGAACTACACTTTCATATTATGGAAAAATAATCTTATCTTACATGACAGGAGACATTGAATACAATCAGAAAAAAAGTCTATCACTTTTGAGATTTTATATACTGATAACCCACTCTTCCTGGTTAATCCTTCCCCTAAGACCAACTACCCACGAAAGCATGTATTGGTTTCTTTCCTTTACAGAAAAATAATAAAAACAAAAGAAAACTATTTCTTTTTAAGAATAGCACTTTTGTATTTCTACAAAATAGAGAGAATAGAAAATGAAATAATCTTCAATCCCATCCCCACCTCCTCCAGATAATTATGGCTTTTTGATAGTTCTTCTTTCCCCTTTATTCCAAATAATAATAATATACTCCTATTAACTATACAATTAGTGATAGGCATGATAACAGAGGAGACAGAATGCAGAGATGTGGTTGAGGCTGTTAGGTTAAGACCTCCTTATTAACACTGTAAACACTGTAATTGGTTCCACCCTTACATCCCAGGCAGTAACAACCCAAGTTTATTTCCTCACTTGTTGCAGAAGAATAACAATAGGCTCAACCTTAGGACTGCCACAGAAACACATCCCAAATACTTAGCATAATGGCCAATAGGAGTTAATGCATAAAGTATATTGGCAATTAGCAGGGCACAGTAAAGAAATACCTAGCACAGGCATGTCATTCAGCTCCATTTGGTTCAAACAAATAAGACTGTCATCAGAGCTGATTTTTTGACCAACTCTCTCCAGTGTTTTATTCACTTCTTCCATAGCTGCTTTCATTGCTTCGGGACATCTATTAAAAGTTAAGAAAAAAGTAAAGATGTACAGAAAATAAATGTTTTCTAAGTTCAATGAGCTGCAAAGAAATATGTATCCTTCCTTTTAACTAGGGACATTCGCATTTATTTTTCGGTCTTTTCTTTTTTTCAGTCTTTTCCAATTCTTTGTCTTTGGTTAACAATATTTGTTGCCTAATGTGGTTTTGACACATAGAAGTAAAACTTTAGCCAAGTATTTATTAGTAAATGATTCTAAGAAGGATTTAGCAATCAAATTATTCATACGAATGGTTATTAAGAAGGAAATTGCAAGTTAATAATTATTATAAAGACCTGGCTAAACTGCAAATGTAAAATTGAGCTGACTTCAAAGCCATAGCATGATTTCAGGTAGAACAACAGTTTTTCCACATCTGTAATATACTGCCACAGCACTTTAATTTGTGAAATGACTGCCATTTTATTTTAGTGGGTTGAAGTTTAGTGAATTTTCTGTGTTATGGGAACAGAGCTATGTTAAATGGGTTGCAGTAAATTTGGATCTCAGAAATGTTTGACTAATAAGTTATCTGTGGGGGTATCATTAAATGGTTACTATAACTTATATGATATTAGACTGAGGGGGGAAATTCCTGTAAATATGTTTATTCCGGATAGCATCCTCAAGCAAAAACTTTCAAAGATATTTAATATTTGAGATAGGTTAGGAATGAGTTATTATTTCAGAAATCATTTTAAAACATTTTTAATCCAGTAATTTGAATAATTCAATTAACTATTTGAATGTCAAATTCCCCAAAGATTACACTGCAGAAAGAAAAGCATTTCATAGAAAATATGTTGTAACCATTTTTTGTTGTTAGGTATGTACAGTTCTAAAAGACAAAATCTAGCTAAATCCCATCAATAGCACATTATGTCTCATCCATAACTATCAGAGTTGGTCAAATGAATAAAAGAGCAATTACTAAATGAATGAAAAGACAAGGTGCTAATGAATGAAGTTGCTCTTCTTGCTGCCTGTGCATGATAATAATACAGATTTGTATTATTCAAGAGAATGAATTCATGGACTTGGCCATCCTGCATGACAGCCTCAGGTTAAGACGATGCTCAGGGGCCAGGTGCCCTGAGTTGACCCCACACCCATATTCCTTCCCTGAAAAATCCTGTGCCTCTAGAAGATGTGCTTATCATCACAGTTGCTTTTGTTTTTGTGAGAAATGGGTGACCTGGAATATATTAAAAACCCATAAGTCATGATAAGTCTTTTAACGTGTGTTGTTAAACTGCTGAACTTCTGCTTTGTACTAAAATAAATAAATAAGTCACTAGTTACCTCATCATTTGAAACAAGCTCCAGAATGTGGCTGGAATGGTGTTTGCTAGCGACGCCCAGAGGACAGCTAGGTGTGACTTGGCCTTTTCCATGTCATCTAGGGTGGACAGTGTGTCGTTCAAAAATCTGATCAGCTCTGAGATGTGGTATCTCTTTCCCAGATTTTTGTGGAGCAACCCTTCTGCCAGTTTTTTGCGGGCATGGTGTGCAGTTTTGAACACATGAATGGGAAGTCCTGCTACCAAGGCTGGGAAGATCTTGTCAAATTCTTTGAAGTTGTCAAGGTTATTAACAATAAGTCTTTTTTGTGCATCTTGACCTCTAAGTTCTCTGCCAAAGAGAGTTAAATACCCAGCTTCAAACATCACTCTGTAGCAAAAGGAATACATTCCTTCTGTCACCCAGGCAGACATCTTTGCCTGAGGAACAAACAGAAATTTCATGACGAGTTGCAGATTTTCCATCATGGTTTCTGTGAGGGAATTCAAGCTATCACCCTGCAGGGTTTTAATGAAAGTTTTGTTTATGTTCTCAGTGGTATTTCCATCATTTGGGTCAATGCTTCTGTGTCCAAATGCCTGTAAATAAAAGCAATGTGTGGAAGAAGAAATTATAACTGACCTCTGTGCTACAAAATGACAGAAAAACAAATTAGGTATTTTCACAGTTCTCTACTTATTTTTTTTTCCAAAAAGAAAGGAATTTGGTCTCTCCCATATAATTTCATAACAGTTTATAAATAATATCTTTCTTTTAAGGCCACATTTAAAAATCCTCTACTGTGGTCCATCTATTTGTTTTTCTTATGCTACTGTATTTACTTGCACATTAATTTGCCACTACTCAATAATATCTTTAATCATTATTCCTTTATTTTTCAATCTTTGTAGATGTATCTTCACCAGACTTTCAACTACTTATGACAAAGCAATGCTTAATTTCTTCACAGAAACTCAATAAACATTGCTTAATTGTTTTCTATATAAAAGAGCTTCTTACAGTACAACTAAATGATGTTAAGGTGTTCAGACAATGCCTTAAAAAATTATACAATTGTGTACCTTGAGCATGATGAAACAGTTGCTCAATATTAAGTTCTCAACCACCACACACACACTGGGTATTCTACACCCGCTGTCAATAAGAGTCAACTCGTACCTATCCTGTTCATCAAATGCCATCTCACTCAATAAAAGACTACATTTCCCCCCCCTCAATCATTGATAAAGAAATAGCTATATCTATTTGATGATTTACATAAGCACAATGGTCATGTTTTTAATTTGATTTACGGTATTTCTAAGAAATCTTCATGTAAGAGTAACTTGCTTCAATTTCTCTATCTCTAAGCCTAACAGAAATGATTAAACAGATTGATAGATGAAAAGATATGAAACAATGCTCTATAAGCCTAAAAGTGGGTTTACCTTTGCAGAAGCTGTGAAATGAAACTTTTTCCAATCAAAGTATTTTCCATGGCACAACACTTTCTGGTATGACAAGGGATTTGTGATGAAGTGGACATAGTTTCCCATTAGTTTGCAGGTAAAAACATAACCATGTTTCTTTTGATTTGCTCTGAGGAACTCAAGAGGATTGGTTCCAAATTGCAAAGCACATCCCAGATATGGAATCAACCCATTCTCCAGAGGTGGTTCACCCATTTCCCTGAAAGACACAAACATTTAGTACATATGTAAAATCATACTGTTTTATTTACATTATATTTTTAAAAATTACTAAAAAATTTAACTTAAAACTATACAATTTGTAATACTTTTTTTTTTTTTTTTTTTTTTTTTTTTTTTTTTTTGCTGATTAGGTCCTGCTCGTTAACTAAAATAATGGATTAAATTAGCCTACTAATGAGATATGCTGTTATCTAATTATCTCAAACTCTTTTTAAAAAAATTTATTTACTGGACCTTTCCTGGTGGCGCAACCCGTTAGGACACAGCACTGCAAGCTGGCCACAGCCACTTCAGTGAGAGTTCGATCCCGCCCCCGGAGGTGATCCACCTGGTGAAGCAGACCTACCCTGACCCGCCCCCTGCTCCCCTCAGCAGGTACTTTCTCAATCTGCCTACCTTGCTCCCTTCTCTGTCTCTAGTGAATCCTCTCGTCCTCCCCACACCTCGGGCTGCACCCCATTTCTGCATGCATAAATAATTTTTTTTAATTAATTGATAAAAATATATATTTATTTATGCATACAGAACTGGGGTACAGGCCAGAGGTTCAGGAAAGGTGAGAGGATTTACCAGCGACAGAGTGAGGAACAGAGCAGGCAGATTGAGGAAGTACTGCTGAGAGGAGGAGTGGGTGTGTCAGAAGTTTGTGTCTTGTGAGTAACCTCCCCAAGAGAGGACTGGAGGCAAGCTGAAGCAGTTGAAGGCAGCTTCACCGGGAGAGTCCAGTTTTGTATTTTTTTTTGAAGATATATTGAATACTGAATAAAAGATAGGATTGCAGGAATGAAGTTTTCAAAATCTTCACAGCTGAAATGTCATATTATCCTGTAATGATTGTTTATAAGAAGGAAATGTTTAAGAAATTAACATATGATAAAAAGAAATTGAGTAAAATAAATATTGACAGAATAAATGTAAATTTATTGTATAAATTTATTATATAAATTACATAAAATGTAATTTAATGCTCTTTCATGCTATTTTCAATGCTTTTAGTTATGAATATAAGCATTAATTTTATGACATAAACTACTGTCCTTGATAGAAATATCACATTAAGTAATTATTTTTACTTCCTAATTCAGAGTTCAATTTCTCATTCAGTTAATTAAAACTACAAAATGTAAGATCTCAATTAAAATACCTTAGAGAATGAAGAAACATGAAAATGTAGACAACACATAACAATCTGCATGGCTTTTGGAGATGTCATAACAGTATATGTACATCTCCCCCACCCCCAAGTCAATCAGAAGATAAACTATGGCAACTGATCTGTATTTCTTCATTCTCAAGCCAATTATAAATGATGCACACAAATAAAACTGATGTCACATATATTTAGTAGTTTTCCAGTTCACCATGGCTGATTATCATTAACAAAAAAGAGAGAAATAGAATGGTCATTCCAGACACCACACTATTGTCCAAATGTAAGCCGAATCTGTATAATTTATATGAACTAACTGAAAAGAACATTTATTTAGTTAGAGCATCTATTTCACCCATGTGGTAGAAAGAAACCTCTTCCATTACGATAGAATTATAGATCTCAATTATGATTATGCCCTTACTAATGCAAACTTCATCTCTACAAACAGAGATCTTGTAAAATTTCTGTCAGTTATGCTTTAAAAATTTGTAGATTTAAGGCTACCATAGGCATATATCAATACTAAAAAGAAAACTGTCGTCATATCTTTTGCTAGATACAATGGACAATATCATTATTAAATTTAACATTTTTAATTTGAAAAAGTTAAGGAAGAAAATACTATGTTTAATCCCCTCTGTAAGTACAGATAATCAAATTCATTGTGTTTCAGTGAAAGTAACAGAACATTAAATGAATGAACGAAAATGCAATTAAAAACTTTCCTTACCGTCTCCTGGTTCCAAGAATAAGCCACAAACAACAGCACACTGCTATAACAATTCCCCAAATCAAAGAAATGCTCATCATTTTGTAGATCTAATGTAAAACTTCTGAAGAGGAGAATCTATGAAAAGAAAGTCAAAAGTATCACTGAACAGAGACTCCAGCTAAACTTTTTATATAGGGTAGGATCCAGCACTTGAGTGACCAAAGTAAACAATTAATTATTTGTTCATCCTATTAGGAAAAAAAAAAAAACTGGCCTTGAACTAAGTCCACAGATATTAGAAGAGCTTCCAAAACAATCAGAGACCTGCAATACTTGATAAGGTGAAGGTCTCTCGAATGTATATTGACTTAAGTTTCGGACCAGGGGATGACGGCTAATATTAACAGTTTTGTCTGTCTATAAAAGAACAATGATGAACATATCAAATAGATTTAAAATATATAATTCAAAGAAAATTAAGCATGTTATTCATCAACCTAATGATTTGATTGTATGACCTTGTGAAGAAGAAATTACCTTGTGTGAAGAATTACTACTGAGACACAGTAGTCAAGTTCAAAGGAAAGAGAACTAGGTGAAATGTTTCTACCACCTCGGCTTCAGTACTTTTACAAAGGCATGGATATTTTACTATATGTAGCAATAGATTACTTGCCTAATATCCTTAAGAAAGACCATATCTTACATAAGTGAACCTCCCAGATAAACACAGATTATTTTAAGCATCACAATGGTACGGAGCATTTTCTTTAATTGGAAATGTTTTATTTTGCTAAATATTAATAAAATTTCACTTCAAATAATGTAAGATTAACAAGCATATCTTGGTAGAAAGTGAAAGTCAAATAATAGTTTACTTCATAGATGTATATTATTACACATTTTATATAGAGGATATATTGTCTTCCAAATTTTATTTTTATGCACAAATATATATTAACTGCACCGATTCTGTGCCAAGAACTCTTCACCTAGTTGCAGCTGCTAGTAATGTTGTCAATTCTCTACCCTAATGCACTAATGAAGAATGTTTAATTAGAGAGACAGAAAATAATAAAAGAAGGTGAGGTGCAGAGAACTACTGGGGGATGAGAAAAACTTTATATATGATTATTAGGGAAGGGCTCTCCAAGGAGATGATAGTTGAGATATGAAGAGATAAGCCTCGGCTAAAGACAAAATTTTTCCTTATTCTAAGAATGAGCCACAAGCAAATGCAACTTGCTAGAATAATTTCTGCACATCAAAAGGATGGTCATCATTTTGCAAATACAATGCAAAACTTCTGAGGAGCAGCCAGGATTACAAAAGTATGAGGATCACTAAACAGTGTCTTTGTATTCTTTACAGGTGGCACGCTATATTAGACTATAAGAAAGAAAGGCATTTCAGGAAAAGAATAGCAAATCTTAGGTCTAGATTCAAGGCTGACCTTTACATATATAAAAACCAGAAACAATCGGAGATAGACTGGAGTCAAGTGAATGAGAGGAAACTTGGTTAAGATACAAAGGCAGAAAGGTAAGCAAGAGTTAGCTTATGTAAGGCTGCTTGAGAGTAGAGAGAGAAAGATTTTGGGGGGACAACAAATCAAAGGACTATTTTGGAAATTTGAAATTTGTGAGACTATCTAAGGATCAATGTCAAATTAATTGACCTTGTTACCAGCAGAAGAAATAAATTTAAATTTCCTACAGCAGAAACAGTAGTGAAAATTTGAGCATAAAAGTCTCAAGAAAAGAGATTTGAAATAGAAATCTCAAGTCATCGGCATTTGGATGTTATTTAAAGAGTACCTTTTCTTGCAACAGTGTGTATGTCTTTCCTTCTGAGACTGTCTGCATTGTTCTTGTCACATGTCCACAACTGACATCGATCATACTCTATCATGTCATTTCTAACTTGTTGAGTGGGAAGTCACGGGGGTTTTAGACTTTTTATCACATCTTCACCATTCATTTATATAACCATATAATTTCAGGAGTACAGTTTTATGTATCAACACCTCCATGAGATCCACTCACTCAACACCAAAGTCCCTATCCCTCTCCCCTATCACATAACCCTCTCTAGGACCCTCCCGGTGGGCGGGAATTTGGATGCTTCTCACATTTATCAAAACCATTAACAGACTGCAAGGAATGCTCAAAGGTTTTCCTGATGAGTCAAGTGCATAGATTTATGCATTGATTCCATAACATCTCAATGTGTTAACTATAGTGGGTGTTTTATCTGTCTTAAGTTGGGAAGTCTTGTGTTTGTTTATCCTGCTGGGTGTAAATGATAGAGTCCTATTCTCTCTCTCAAACACACACACACTTACACCACACGCATGCACAACGTGATATCTGCTAGTACATGTCAGACACTGCCTCAACTCTGGCTAAAATCTCTGCCTCACATTTCTCGACTCTGGGAGTTTCCATTTTCAGGGAAAGAGTAAATGCCCAGAAAGGAGTTATGTTTCAGTTGCCAAAAATCCTGGCTTCATAAACTGTGGTTATCTTAATACTCTAATCTCTTCACAGCCTGTCAATGTCCATTCTTTTGCGGAGAGCAGTGTTTAGGACATGCCTACGGAAATGTAGAAAAAAACTTGTTGTGGGCTTTAGGGGATATAGGACCTGATTCCAGTATCTCATCCCCATAAACAGAAACATACAAAATATGGGAACTCAAACTGCAGGGATAGGAAGTGTAAAAGACAATTACAAACTATCAACCTCTGTACATGGCTGGCACCTCTAGGTAGTTTCTAATAGGAAATTCAGTAAACAAGAGTTTATATCAAGCCCAAGTATCAGTATGATTAAATGAGTAGTGAATGTGGTCAAACAATTAAGTCAATCTAGTTATTTTCCTGAATTTATAAACCAAACCAACTTTTGGTGGAACATAGAATGTCTCAATTATTGCAATGCTGTGCATATTTTTAGAGCATCACAGACCTCTGTGGATCAAGATTGCAAGTTAGTTTCTTAATTTGAAGCAATTAAGAGGAGAACAAAGTGGGACAGGCTGGGGAGTCTTGTGACTAATTCAGGACTTTCATAATAAACTCTTAGGAAATAAGTTTCTTTACATTTAAGTCTCTAAACTGAAAAGAAAATGCTGTTGTTTGTAGATGTCTCCACTCTGGAAAATCACTGAGGCAGTAGCTGCAAAGGCTTGAAATCATCAAAAAGGAAAAAATTAGGTAGAATAAGTCTTTTGCTATGAAGTGTCATGTAGCCCAATTGACATGCTATAGACAGGAACCGAAGATGACAGTCTGGTGCTCACGTCTGAATACACACACTTCAGGATAGAAGCTCTGGAAGTGGATTCTGTAAAATTAGTAATCATGGTTGATATTATATACAACTCTCTTTTTTATCAACCAGAATGTAACCAGATGTCTTCTCTATCTCTGCTATAGAAGAATCATCGGTCTCCTTCTGTACACATACCCCACCCATGCAAACAAGACCAGAGCATGTGAAGGGTGGGACAAGCACTAGAGGAATTTGCTACAGTCTTCCAGTTTGTCTCTTCTTTTTGCTGTAAATAATCTCCTTAATAAAGTTTCCTTTGAATTGTTGCTTAACAGTGTTTATTTCAGTTCACAAGCTACGTTTGAAAAAAAAAATTAAGGAAAATAAAGTTCTGTATGGCAAATACAAATTATATGATTCTCAAATATAGTTTTGAATCTCAAACACATGGCGCTGAGGTTGTGAATGCCTAGCATGTCTTAATGTGCACCTGAACAAATATAAATTTTCAGAACTAGGTCATAATGTATTGATAAATTCCATTTCAGGGAACCATAATGACTTTTACCTTAGTTTTTGTTTTTGTTTTGTTTTGGTTTTTAAAGATTTATTTGTAACTGGGGTACAGGCCAGAGGTGGAGGGGCGGTGAGAGGATTCACCAGAGACAGAGTGGGGAGCAGAACAGGCAGATAGATGAAGTACACTGCTGAGGGGAGCAGCGGGAGGGTCAGGAGAGGTCTGCCTGGTCATGTGGGTCACCTCTGGGGCAGACAGAGATCCAACTCATGCGGAAGTGGCTTTAGCTTCTAGTGCTATGGTTTAACCCACTGTGCCACTATTGAAGGCCTTGCCTTAGTTTTTAAATTCTGCTTTCTTTAAAGCTTTTGACCTACATTTCCTGACTTGAATTAAGTAATTCAGGAAGAGCAAGTATTTTATCTTTATTTTAAACATGAGGAAGTAAAGGAGTGAAAATTAAGTAACTGATCTCACAGAGTTTAAAGTAGTTAAAATGGGCAATGGAGAGGAATTTGGTATTCATTCTGGGTTTACACTTGGCCCTGGCACTGTCTAGATTTATTTCTTTGAGCGGAATGCTAATCACTCCTAGTCATTACTTTTATGTCTGCAAAATAGGGATAATTATAGTATGTGATTCATGGTGTGGACGTTAAGATAAAATAAGACAATAAATTATGTATAAAATGCTCAGCCTAGAGCTTGACACTGTACCCCAACAATATCTGTTGTAAGTGAAAAAGGAAAAGGAAAATCAATTTCCACTTTACAACTAGGAACATCACAAGGAGTTCAGAGGTACCAAAGGTCACCAAGCCACAGTTTTAGGAAAAGGTACATGAACCACCTTCCAGGGCAAACATAAATGTGATTCATCAAACACTGAACATTAAGTTTGTAGACATGCTTTTAGGCAATGAGGGAGTGATTAATTGATCATTCAACTAATATTTATTTCATTTATTCATATTAACATAACACCCACTTTAGGCACCTTTTAAGTATTGGGGAAAGAGCAGATACGGCAGGCAAGTTTTTGCCCTCAAGAAGACACAGCCAACCAGTAGAACAAATGTACTCTGATTTCTAGTAAAGTGCCATTCTATGACCAGAAAATGTCAGGCCAATGCATCAATGTTTTGTGCCAAGATCTTTACATGCTTGCCTTATCTCACCCACATGAAGCACCACAAGAAGGACAATAGATCTTCCATTTCCAGAGGAGGAAATGCTATAGGATCTGACACCAAGCTCCACTGCCATCCTGCAGCTCTGAGCTATATCACAGAGAGAACTCCCTCCA